AGAGACACACATATGCTGTTTGTTAAGTGTCATTGAGTCAGTTCCTACCCATAACAACTCTTTGTAGGGTTTCCAAGAATCAGCTGGTGAGCCTGAACAGCTGACCTTGCAGTTCAAATCAACTTTGCAGTCCAGTGCATTAACCCACAGCACCACACTAGTCACTTCTGAATTATACTTTATAAAAAAAGCAGAAGAGACAGAGAGTCACACATATAGGGGGAAGAAACTAGGACAAAGGCCTACACAAGGAATTTGCATGAGTGAGACTGTGATTTGAACTTTGTCTCCAGAATTATAATAAAATATATTTCTGTTCTTTAAATCCACCTACTTGTGGTATTTTCTGTGACTGCAGCATTAGGCAACTAAGACAGCCTCCCACTGTTAGTCTCCAAGTGGCGTAACCTGCCCACACTTAAATAAATAGTCCTTTCATTGAAATCTCTTCATGAATGAAGAGTGAAATTCTATTGGTTACAGAGATCCTAACTCTGAGGGATAGGAGATGGAGGGGAACACATGCACACTAGTTTAGGACAAAAAGCTAAAAGAATATACAAGAAAACATGGCCAGTATTTACATTTGGGTAGTTAGACTGTCTATTTTCATCTTTATTCATAAACTTTATTCAAATCTGGCATTGAAAATATACAACGTTGAAAACATTGGATAAACAATATAGTGTCAATTAGTCATTTATAAAATAAAAGTAATATCTCTTTGTTCACATTTCTGTGTACATTAAGTAAAATAATCCATGTGCCTTTGTTATCTACTGCTAACGAGTTCTGGTAACGTAGTGGTTACGAATTGGGCTGCTAACCTCAAGGTCAGCAGTTTGAAACTACCAAATGTTCTGCGGGAGAAAGATTGAGGCTTTCTGATCCCATAAAGATTTGCAGCCTCAGAAACCCTGTGTAGGGTCACTATGAATCGGAACCAACTCCACGGTACTTAACAACAACAACAACAACTATAACAGAAACACCACAAGTGGATGGATTTAGCAAACAGAAATTTATTTTTCACATTTAAGGAGGCTAGAAATTCAGGATGCCAAGTCTAAAGGAAAACATTCTCTTTCTGTTACTCTGGAGAAATGTCCTTATCTCTTCTGAGCTTTAGCCCCATCTGCAAACTTGTTTTCCTTTTTTTAAATTGCAAAAAGAAATTGACTTAAAATACACATACTAGTCCTGCTCCACTAACATAGCAAGGACAACACATTTCCAAATGGGATCATAACCACAGACACTTGTTGTTGTTGTTGTTGTTAAGTGCCTTTGAGTCAGTTTTACCCAAAGAGACCCTGTGTAGGGTTTTCGAGGAGCAGCTGGTAAGTTTGAACTGCTGACCTTGAGGTTCAAACCAACTTTGCAGTCCAGCCCATTAACCCACAGCGCCACACCAGTACTCCCAGCCACAGGCATAGAGGTTAGAATTTACAATTTATATTTTGGAGGGATGTGTTCTGCTGCGTAATGAGTTATGTGCTGGGCTACTAACTTCAAAGTCTGCAGTTCTAACCCACCAGGTCAGGAGAAAGATAACACCATTTGCTCTTAGTTTTGGAAATAACAATTCTATTTCGTCCTACAGGGTAACTATAAATCAAAATGAACGCTATGATAGTGAGGATGGAATTCAGTCCCTAACACCACATAAAGACCTAAGTGTACAGTAAGTGTTCATATGATATTTGTTTTAGTATAACTTCCTAAACCTGTTGCTATAAGAGTCAATTCACTTCGGATAGTACAGAGTAGAACTGTGCCATTGTGTTTCCAGGCCTGTAATCTTTACAGAACCAGATTCCCACATCTTTTTCTAAGGGAATGGCTGGTGGGTTCAAATAATTAATCTTTTGGTTTGCAACCAAGTGCTTAACTATTGCGCCACCAGGGCTCCTTGACTCCTTCCTACATGATTATTTTTAAGGTGAAACTGCATGATATATGATAAAAGGACATATCAAAAACTGATGACATTATCTAAGATCATATATATATATATTTTTTTTTTTTTTTTAAGTTGTACAAAGAAAAAACCACTTCACACATAGCAAAAAAATATATCTGAAATATTTTCAGTAATTTTTTGACATGACTGGTGTTGTGCTGTGTGTTAATGCACAGGAGTCAGTTTGAACTGCAAGGTCCGTGATTCAAGCTCACCATCCACTTCTTGGAAACC